GCAGGACTGGCCTAGGGGTATTTTAAATTGGTTTTAATCAAATTTTTAGTAGAAGCGGCCAAATTTGAATATTTATTTTTAATCATTTTTAAATTTTGTATTGTATTGTATCATTGTTTTAAACTGGCTGTAAGCCGCCCTGAGTCCTCCGGGAGAAGGGCGGGGTATAAATTTAATAAAATCAAAATCAAATCAAATATTAATAAATATGGATAAATTTGTCATACGTTCGTCAGTGCAAAGGGAAAGTGATTCAGCAAAGGAACTACCACCGAAGAAATGAAAACTGGTACTTTTTTCCTTTTTTTTTTGGTCATCAAGTTTTTGACATCTTGCTAAGCACTGATGGTACTCGAATATTGTCATGTCCTAAAAGTGGTATAATCTGTAAAAAGGTTGAAAAGCACTGCCATAAAGGACTCTAATGCCTATACATGAATGCTCAACATTTAGGGAACAAACAGGGTGGACTTGAAATACTAGTACATGAAGGTAAATATGATATAGTTGCCATTACTGAAATATGATAGGATGAAACTCATGACTGGAATGTACTGATGGAAGGATAAAAACTATGCAAAAGACCCAACAAAAGAAGAGGTGAAGTTGCATTATATATAAAAGATCATTACATCTCTACAGAAATACACAAAACCACGGATGAAAACCTTCTAGAATTCATATGGATCAACATGAAAGGGAAAAAAAGAATGACATTGCTATAGGATTAAACTACAGACCATCGAACCAAGCAGAAGAAATAGATGAACTTTTTGCTGAACAACTAACAAATCTATGTAGGAAATATACCACAGTAATAATGGGAGACTTTAACTACCCTGATATCAACTGGGACACAACTCTGCAGCAAATGGGAGATCAAACAGATTCCTAACCAACCTAGCTGACAATTTGTCATCCAAAAGGTAGAGGAGGGAACTAGAAAAAAGCTACACTAGACCTAATTCTTACTAATAGAGAAGAAGTGATAGAGTTGAAGTTGCCAGAACTTTGGGCGAGAGTGACCACATCATATTGTAATTCAATATAATGCAAACACAAGCAATAGAACATAATCCAGCCAGTGTCTTAAATTTTAAAAAGGCTGATTTTAACAACTCAGAGAGAGCCTAATAAAAATTCCATGGATGAAAATCCTAAAGGGGAAAACAACTCAAGAAGCGTGGAAAGCTCTGGAAAATATGATCACAAAAGTCCAGTCCAACACAATACTACTGAAAAAGAAAAACAAGAAATCCAAGAAGAAACCAGCATGACTGCACAAATATATCTGCATATCTCTGGATATCAGATCTCTGATAAACTGAAAGACAAAAAGGACAAGTACAAAAAAATGAAAAGAGGGACACATATCTGCAGAGTATCAGCAGATAGCCCAGATCTGCAAAGTTGAAGTCAGGAAAACAAAGGCTCAGAATGAACAAAGACTTGCACAAAAGTCAAAGATAATTTTAAAAAGTTTCTTTCAACATATAAATAACAAGAAAAAAGTCAAGGAAATAGTAGGTTTATTTACAAGGGAAGATGGCAAGAAAATTACAGGCAGTAGAGAGAGAAAAAAGAGCTGCTTAACTCATTCTTTGCATCAGTCTTCATGCAAAAAGAAATTATAGCCCAACCTACCAAAGAACTTACTGCAAAAGACAAATTAGAAATAAAAATTAAAATAAGAAAGAAAATGTTTAGAGAACACCTATCTGATCTTGACTGGCCCCAACTTTAATCACTTTCTGCAAAAAAAGAGAGAATTTTTCTGGAAGCTGTTGCAGGGCTGATGCCAGGTACTGTTTCAGGATACAGATTTTAGTATTTTTGTTTTTCAAAAGTAAGTCAAGGTAGTCCTTGACTTATGAATACAATCAGGATGGGAACTTCCATTGTTAAGTGATGTGGTCTTTAAGTGAATCATCCTGATTTTACCATCTTTTTTACTTCAGATGTTTTACTAGTTCTTTTTATATGCTGTTGATTGATTATAGTTTAACACTTGATTTTCAGGAATTATGGATCCAGAATTGGTTTCCTATGGACTTATTCTAGAATTGTATTTGTTTCCTTTACAGAAAAAGCAGATTACTCTTTTTTCTTCAGTGCTAGACATCCTAGTGTTGCTGCTCTAATGGAATCAAGTGGTGGTAAGGTGCTTGTATTTATATTTCTGATATACAAGAACAGAGTTATTCTCTTTCTGAATGATGAAATTAGATTAAAGGGTTAAGATACCTTTTCATGTGTTATTTTTTTCTTCAGACACACTTATAGAATGGAAGGATACTAGAATTAAAACACGTCAGCTTACTACAGGTAAATCTTTTAAATATGACAAGTAATATTAAAAATACTGGAGGTTGTACAGTAGATAATTGTGGAAATGGGGCATCATTTAAAAACCAGAACAGGGGAAAGATCCACCCTCTCTGATATAATATTCCAGGTGATATCTCTAACCCCAATCTCCTCACCTAAATATTTCTGTTTAGGAGAGGGAAAACTTTTCAGAAAGAAAAAAGTGACTCTTTTAGTGTAATATGCTAATAGAGATGATAGATTGTCATTGTTATAGACAAAATTGAACTGATCACAGACCTAGGTTCAAGAGTTGATGCAATTAGGTCACAGTGGTCAGATGGGGTTCCTTTCTTTTGCTTCTAGGTGGATATTTACTGGAAAGTTCATGATTTTGCCATTTCAGATCTCACAAGGGCCTTTAGAGTAAAAGATACTGCACTTGTCATCTGCTTCCAGTTTAAAATTGGTCCTTTTCTACCAGTCTATTTGGGCTGTAAATTAATTTTTAAATATTTTCAAGAAAGAAGCAGTGTCAGAACCCATTTATATTTCATTTCTATCTATCTCCTCTGATCTAAAACCAAATCTCACTTTCCCCTGGATTCTGCCATACTACCAAGGGGGAGGGGGGATATGCCTGTGGGCTTATGGCTTTCACTTCCTCTATTCGCTACAATGTAACCTTTTGTTTATTGCCTCTGGGTCTGCTGCCCATTACAATATAACAAATTGCCTCCTGCACTATGCATCTCTCTGAACTTTCTTTTCCCTAACCTGGCAGCTAGGAAAAGGAGGGGGAGAGAGAATTACAAACATCCAGAACCTGGCTTATTTCTCTGGTCTCAAAAGGAGGTGTGAAGAGCTGTGGAACATCTTGCTACAAACGGAGTCGGACCAATGTTATCTTCCCTTTTTCATGATGGACTTAACACCTGGAGATTGGCCGGTCTGAACCGTCCGGATGAACTGTGGGGTGGGGTTTGCTTAAGGACACTTTAAAGTATCGGTCTGTAAAGAATCCCTCAGATCCTGTCTATTATGCCTGCTATCAACTACTCTTAATAAAAGCTCCTGTTGGAAGAAATTGTTTCCAAGAGTTCTGCTTTCTTAAGATGTGGGATTGAAGTGGGTCCTTACATTAGACTAGGATCTGCAGTAATAGTCAACCTGGAAGGAAGACCCTTACCAGGGGACTTTGCAAAAAATACAATGTTGGATGACGAGGCAGGGAAGGAAGAAAACCCTGTGGAAGGGGAAACTTCCCTCCGACCAGGATCCCACCAGCTGTCAGGATCCTAGATGTCATACTCAGGAGAAGAAGTGATGGAAATGCGTGACCACAAACCTCGGTGGTCGATGGGCATTGGCAAGAAAGACAAGTAGGAAAAGAGATCGAGAAAGGTGACCCTGAGACGGGGCAGCCACCAACCAGAATGGAAGCAAGAGATGGAGAAATCCCTGCACGTTAGCGAAGAGGAAGGAAGTTGCGCACAGCACTTGAAATGGATCCTGGATAAAGCTATTGACCTGATGAAAAGAACCATCGGTTCCCTATGGGAGGAGAAACCTGAACCCCGCGGCCGCACCAGCACCTGGAGCTGCAGCTGGAGAGACACTGAGAGGGAATCAGAACCTGTAGTCCCGGGGATGTCCGCTGAAACTGCAGCTACCATTTCGGCAGCCCCCACTCCCTGCCGACCCACAGATCGCAATCAGGATGGGAGACAATACCGTCGGCGGCGAAGGCACTGATCCATCCAAAGATTCCCACCAATGGACACGAAATTCAGGGGGGAGCTGCCATGCTTGGGGTTCTTCCTAACCCAAGTCCTTAGCTACATGGAAGAATGCAGATGGGACATCCCCAGCGACAAAGCCCGTATCTGTATCGTGCAATTATTATTATTATTATTATTAATTGTATTTATATCCCGCCCTTCTCCTTTCGAACTCAGGGCGGCTGACAAATGATAAAAAGCTAACATATTACACCTAGTTAAAATTTAATTAAAATGAAATATTTGAGAATGTCAAATTTAAAAGTAATTAAAACCCCTATAAAATCCCCTAGGCCAGTCCCGCTTGCTGGAACAACCACGTCTTGAGGGCGCGGCGGAAGGAAGGGAGATCAGGAATCACCCTGATCTC